TAAGACATATTAATCTTTAAATTCCCACTTGGTGCGCAAGTGATTTCATAATGCCTTGGTGTCTGATTCACAGAATCACGGGCGTGTCACCTAGTGTTTCTGTTGCTCTAAAAATCGCACTTAATAGTTTAGATCACCATGGCATTACAATAACACTCGCTTACTCGAGCTAAACATATTAACCTGTAAATTTCCACTTGGTGCGCAAGTGATTTCATAACGCCGTGGTGTCTAACTCACAGAATCTGACTGGCGTGCCACCTAGTGTTTCTGTTGCTTTAAAAATTGCACTTAGGAGTTTAGATCACCATGGCATTACAATAACACTCGCTTACTCGGGATATAAAATATCAGACATATTAACCATTAATTTTCTTCTGTGTGCAAGTGATTTCATAATACCGTGGTGTCTAACTCACAGAATCACGGGCGCGCCACCTAGTGTTTCTGTTGCTTTAAAAATCGCACTTAAGAGTTTAGAACACCATGGCATTACAATAACACTCGCTTACTCGAGCTAAAACATATCAGACATATTAACCCTTAATTTTCTTCTGTGCCCAAGTGATTTCATTTTCCTTCACTGGTAATTTCTGGCAGGCTTGAGCACGTTTTCGCGGGATGACGATTTCACTATTCGACCGAATCCATTTGATCTCTTGGTCTTTGTGTTTTCTGCCTCTACTATGACATCTGTAGGAAATTTTTTTTATGTAGCCCGTTTGCACACGCTTTACATCATTGACAGCAGATCATGCATAATAGTCACCAAACAAATGCAGTCGGATTAGAATATCTAAGGTTTTCTACATCAAAATGCCTACCAGACTGCCGATGAATATTACCACTTACACGTTTATCATAATATCGTTAGGCTCAGAAACATTTTCAAGGCATAGGAAGACCGTCTTCTTCTCCTAATGTCACCCAAACCTACGCAGACGCACACACCGTCCTTTACGATCATCTCAAGAATGCAATGCTGGCTTTATTCGATCAGAGTTCAAATTATAATGTCACACTTCTTCCACATAAAGAAAAAGACAATTATTATTTCCATTGTTTTGGTTAAATTTTTAACTATAGGGCGTTGAATGTACGAGATTCTCTCAGAGAGAAGCCATAAAAGTACGAGTACAACGCACCAGCGCGTGCGTGAAGCGATTCACTGCGGAAACTGCAGTTTAGCAAGCTCAAGCCAAAAAGTTGGTTGAATCTGCACACACAAAGCCTCGGAGATCAATGATTGCAATTTGCTTTGACATCTATCTTTCCCGGGGGGGGGACTCCCATATGAAACAGACGGGGATGCTCGTCGTCTCGCTTAGGGGTGTAAATTTTGGATTTTGGTCTCGCTTAGGGTGTTCCGGGCAAAGCGCCAATATTTTAAGCCCCCAAGGTCTCGTTTAGGGTTCCGTGAAGAACTTGAGATTTATGACAATGCTTTTAAAAACTTCTTTGCGATAAAAGCATTCGATGATTATGTCTTTATATCATTAAAACTCATTGCATGTCGTATTTGTGTTTTTAAGCGGTCTCTTTTAGGGGCCAAAATTTGCTTAAGCCACGCCCAGATGGTCTCCTTTAGGGGTTAAATTCAAAATTTCCGACGAGCATCCCCGTCTGTTTCATATGGGAGTCCCCCCCCCCGGGCTATCTTTCCTTTACGATGAGTAGTATGCTGTGTGGACTGCGGGTTATACATAATCAACACTGATTTTGAACCAAAGCTTTTATCTAGCAACATTCGTCCGATTCTATTTAAATTCTGCGACCTTCAATACATTCAATACAATATGGAACTACGCTACATTTTAATACTGGCAAAGACCAGAAAGGCAACGCTTGAGTCGTAGGCTATGCGCGATTATTCTGGATAACTCGTGAGCTGAGAACGCAAATTGAAATCTCTTCTCTAATTACTCTATCGCCAGAAGCCGCTTTAATCTTGTTAAAAAATGTATTACTGACCCTGATGGTTGGATCAAACGTAGCCTGCGTGGCAGGCGTTTGAAAGGGAAGGGAAAGGGAGTTTTAGGTGCGAGAGAAACGCGAGAAGCGCGCGGGGAGGGGGCCCTCCCCGCGCGCCCCTAGCGTTTCCCTCGCGCCCAAAACCGCCTTTCCCTTCCCTTTCATACGCCTGCCACGCAGGCTAGATCAAACGGTGAAGAAACTAATTGCTTTTCGCAGTAGGACGTTTATTGCTTGTCACTCAAAACTTAGCATCCTTAACAACGCCGGCGTCATGTGGTGTGCAAAAGAAAGTCGTATGCGGGTCCTCATGCAAATCACAACTACTACTGAAAGTTTTGTAGCCCATTTTATCGCCTTTCTTTTGCTTGAAATTGTGGCTGGCTAAATTTTTAGTAAAGGGGTAAATTTACTTTTCAAGGAGTCGAATGTTAACAGCGAAATTGGCAGTGGATTTTTCCCCAAAATGTTACCTTTTGTTGTGAGTGTAACTGTGTCAGGATTGGTCAGAATATCCAAAACGAGGTATCACTAGAAAGACCTATCTTTGGAAAGCTAAATGCTTCCAGGAAGGAAGATATGCATCGTTCCATATGGAAGGAAAACGACAAAAGCAGTCGTCGAAGGGTTAAAATACCCCTAATTTTGACCATATATGGTCATTTGGCGAGAAATTTGAATTTCTTTAATTATCTGTAACTTTACGCCTTTTAATCCGATTGAGATGGGATTTTCAACAGATATCATAGAAATCTATGCAGAAAACGAAGATAAATTTTTTACCATTTCTTCCCTGAATTTTTATTCTAATACCAAATTTGGACATCATCTATGACGTCACAACAGGGATGAAATAAAACCAATTGAAAGGTAATTTATCAACCTACTTCCCTGCCAAGTTTCGTCACCTTTGATTCATTTTATTCTGTCTTGTGCCTAAAACTCTCAGTTTTGAGAGGTGCGGGAGGAAAAGCCCTAGCAACCGACCACCGATCACCTCCTACTTATGACGTCTAGCTATAGAGGTGCAACTCTGTGGAACAGTCTGCCCTACAATCTTAGGCAAGAGAAATCTCTAAATCGTTTTAAGCAATTGTTAAACTTTCATTTTAGTTAATTAAGTTAGATACACGGCATATCATGGAAAACAGGTGTAGTTTAGTGTAATTTTGAGTAGTATTTTTAAGAGACTCTTTAGGTATGTATTTTTTATTATTAAATATTGTTATATAGTTATACTTTATATGTAACAAAAAACCTGATGAATTTTTCACCGTGTTAAAATAAAGATTTGAGATTTGAGATTCGATTTGAGATTTGAGACGTCATCTCTCGCAACCATAGATACTGACCATCACTGAACTTGACTGATGTGCCCCCCACCCCTTGTCCCATGTACGTCCTAGGTAAAAGCTTAGTGAGATATAGACACAAACAAAAGCAAAACCTCTAGGCCACATTGAAACCAACTGGGGCGGGCGAGGTCCAAAAAAAGTATTCGCGCAAAGGAAATTGTATGAATGTAAGAACATCGTTTCTCAGTTACAGACCTCCTGTCTTCCCCCGGGTGTTTGTTTTCCCGCACAAACGAACAAAAACGGAGTATGCCAAAAAAAATTCAGAGAAATTGTTAGAAAGTCAGTAATTCAGCTGTTTTAACAGCTTGTTTGGAATTTCGAGCAAAAAATCAGAATTTCTCTGAGGCAGAACGAGCCATCAATTCGAATTTTCAGAACTCTTAATTTTAATGTTGTACAGTCGCCTCCCTCAAATGACGGACAGATGTTGAGTCCGTTTGCTCCTAGCTTCATGATATGATATTTTATTGTTTTATCAATTTTGTGCGGATAAATAAACAAGTCATAAGTTATGATCTAGGTAAGTTTAGGTTGCCTGGGTAGTATTTTATTGCGATAACTCCAACGACATACAACAAAACACAAAGCTTGCGAAAATAACCAGACAACATCATTCCCAACCTCATTAATAATTCATAAAGACAATACAAAGGAAATGAATGTTTGCGAGTATTTGGAAATCACATGAAAAACTGCTCATTTTTGCCCTCTTCATTCTCTTTCTGAATCATTTTATGTGGAAACTAATATATATCAAGCATTCATCACCAGATGAAACACCTTGAAGTTCGTCAAAAATACTCCGCTGCCCGTCGTATTTTCAACACTCTACTCAGTGTTTCATACGGTGGTGAAACAATGCGTCTCGTACTTGATATATTACTTCAAACATTAAGATTCTGAATCAAAGAGAGAATAATGACTAAATAATGCATAAGTAATAAGCTGTTAGAATTCACCGCACATCAAGGCCCATTTTGATGTGAAATAAAGCGGTTGTTGCTATTACGGTGATAACACAAAGGTTTTTCTTTTCATATCTCACACAAGGTTTCATAAAGAATTGGAAAATAATATGACTACTGAAAGGTTTTAGATACAATATTAAATGAATATCCCATTGGCCTTCGCATAATATATTGTACCTTATACTCCCTAGGGCTTTTTCAGGTTTCTCAGCTGTTTCACATGTGCTGAATCTAAAGCAAATGATGGAGAACAATAGATTTTCCCTATTAAGGACACATTTGAAGTTCGACGTTTAAAATGAGTCCTCATAAAATAGAAAAGATTATCTAAATACGAAAGAAAAGAAAATGAAATACCTCAGTGAAGTCCGTTTTATCAGACGTTTTTTACTTCTATAATTTGGTCACAAAGCAGTACCTAAGTAATAATGTGTAGAATGCATGTAAACTAACGTTTACTTTTCTCTGACTTCTGAGAGAAAAGTAAACGTTAGTTTACATGCATTCTACACATTATTACCATGTACGTAAGAACATAGCATAACTGATAATTTTCATACACTGAATACAGACTCAAAAGCTCAGTTTTGTATGCACCTGATCAAACAATTCGCGTAACACACGCCAAAATAATCATGGGGAAATTGGGTAAATGAAGCAAGGCAGAAATGTTTATTACTTTTAAAGCTTTTTGCGGTTTTCTTTAGAATCTTTTGTTCTTGTCTTGTGCTGGATAAATGGTCGCAATTTTAGCTCTAACTGGAATATTGTCGGTATCCAGACCTGGTGTTTGACCACGAGTATCAAACTCGATTTTAACTTCGGGTCGAAATATTAGACAGTGCGTGGAACCACCATAGTGGAACATTCCGAGCTGGTCGCCCTTCTTGACTTTTTCCCCCTCTTTAACAGTGATTTCGTTTGAAGAGACTTCTGACATACCGATTGCTACGAAACACATCAATCCAACATCAGGATTATCAGCCAAAATGTAGATTATCCCTCGGGCAGCTACCTGGGCCAGGTATCCTTGAGACATGTTGGGTGAAGCGGGGTCGTCCTGAATGTTATGGGTCTGCGAGTAATAAGAACCATCAACAAGTTCTGTTTTGTAGATTGTACCCGACACTGGACTGTGCCACCGGTGATAGCTGGTGGCGCTAAGAAACCCTTGGTAGACGGTTCCACCATGAAATTTCTTGGCCAGGTCACTCTTGTTCAGCATAAAATGCAAAGAGTACCGCTGTCTCTTAATCCAAAAGAAGTCCCTCGTTTTGACACATGTAGCTATCTGGTAAGGGGCCGACTCACAGGCGTTTGCAACAATGTAATCATCGTCTGGAAATTCTACTGGACGAACTCCAGGACGAAACCCTCTAGTGAAAAAATCATCCCATGACTTGAAACCATAATGAGGGGCATCTGGATCGCATTTAAACTCCTCAACAAAGTTTGGCATTGCTTCCATTGCATCCTCACCAAACCAACCATGTCGAGGATGGTCAGTCAAGACATAGCAAGACTCCGGAGTTGACAGGAACTCTCCCCAATAATTGAGAATGTTCTTGAACAACCTGTTGACTTTGTCGTTCAGGAAGGCAGCAAATCCAGCGGTGGTAGCCATCGGCCAGTTCAAGATAGCATTGATTGGAAAGCCAACCAATGCAGTTTTGTTAAACATTGGAGCTGTTGTCATGATGTGGTCGATTATTATTATCATCAATTGCCAGGACGGAATTTTTATTCCTTCTGAAGAGTTTGGGAGTTGATACTGTTGCCAGAACATTTGATGAAAGAACATGTAGATCTCGTGGTCGGTGAGAATAGCATTCTTCAAATCTTCGACCGGTTTATGGAGACGGAGGTGTTTATCTGTAATTTTAGTATCTGTAGATCGAAGTACACACAGAGCTGTTTCGTCGTCTTCAGCTGGTGGATGAAGAGTTAACAGCATTTCTAACTTATCTTTGTATTTACATTGACACTCGTGGATCACGTTGGCCAACCATTCGTCAGTGACGTTCCAGTCGGCAGGAAGCCATTGACCCAGACGAAACGGCCTGCTGCTTGAGACTGATTGTATTGCGTGCAAAAAGCACAACCAGCGAAAAAAACTTAACATCTTCGTCACCATCTGTGCACGTTAATCTAAGCAATTTTTTAATATTAGCACATGCGCATATTGATGAGTTGAGAGTTATGCTTGTCGACCGCCCTCTAGGGTATTTTTTTCGATAACGAAACAAGGGACGTTTCCATGCAATTAAATTTTCAAAAATTTTGAAATAGCGACAAATGGTAGAGAATTTTCGCAGAAAGGTTTCCAGAAATTATGGTACAACCGAAAATTCTAGATATTCCGGGAGGAGCAAGGAGAATTTTAAGAGAACTTCCGGGAAAGAAAAAAATTGGAAAATTTGGGTATACCTCGCAAGGTAGTCCTCTTTTTTGAAAATTTTGGAAAATATTGTTCTTTTTGCTCCTGGAAGTTGCCGAATATTCCAACCGAACCTTTTGGTTGAACGGAAAGTGCCCATGGCTTTTAACAAACTGTTATAAAAATAATCATGGTATTTCGAGTGTTATATTTAGCTTCGGTGGGGGCGTTTGTTTCTCTGTTCGCTTTAATATAAATTTTTCTTTGGGTCCCGACAACCAATGCCTGGAAAACCTATATATCGAAGTTCGTAAACTAAGATCCAAGTGTTTTCTCATTGCTAATTGGTATAGACCTCCCAGTTCATTAAAATGTTCAGAAAATGTTCAGTCCAGAAAACGTTCTCTTATCTTGAAACTTTGGTTGATAAACTTGATGCTGAAAAGGTTGAATTTCATTTAATGGATGGTTTAAGCTGTAACTTTGCTTTGCCAGATAACGTTAAAAATACCGTTCTGATTTAGCTGATGTGTACGGTCTCCATCAACTTACAAACATCCCCACACAACTCAACTCAATAAGACAGTAAAGTAAGAATAAGGCTAATTAAAACCGATCTAAACAAATAATTTTGCGAGGATGGAATGGCACAGTTTGTTTACTCGTTTGATTCAAGTTCTTTGGTAAAAAGCATTTAAAAAAAAGGCAATCAAAAGTTTGCTCTGGCACTGTCCAAAAACCTCAAAATTTTGCGCAATGTCATTTTTGGATATATGGTGCTGATTCCTCACCATGAAGTGGTTTCCGAGGGAACGGAAGACAGGCTGCCCCATGTGCATACATACATACATACTTTATTGCATAGCTCCCCCTTGGGGGCTCTTCCGCCATACATACACGAATTAAAATAAATAAAATAAACTAGAAAACTATTTACATTTTAATGATAAAATAACGAATTTCTATAAATAATAATGAACGTTAATTCTAAAGGCTATTTACATTTCAATAATAAAAAGCTCTCTATGGATTAAAAAGATATTTAAAAATTCTCTTTTTAAAAGCGTTAAAATTTCCAGTGTCTCTTATATAACTTTAGCTATACTGTTATAAAGTTTTGCCCCACGGTAGCTGAAAGTCTTTTGGCCAGTGGCCAGCCTATAACGAGGCAACGTAAGGTCTTTGTTCTGTCTTGTGACTCTTTGCTGAGTCTTTGCGCGATATTGGAAGCGTCTGTGGAGGTAACCAGGTGTTAGGTTCTTTAAGCATTTGTACACCATCACTATGTCGTTAAAAAGCAGTTTATCCCTTACGTTAAGCCATTTAAGGGACTTCAGGGCTTCTGAAACATAATCGTATTTTCTTAAACCAGCTACGATTCTGCAGGTATAGTTCTGAACTAGCTGAAGTTTTCTAACGTTCTTCTTGCTCGTGCTACTCCATACCGTCGAAAAATAAAATAATTTGCTGAAAACGAAAGCATTTATAGGATAGATCAATGTTTTTTTTATCTAAGAGATGCTTTATCCTATTAACTCTCGTTAGTTTAAACATACAGTCAGAGGCAGTTTTAGTGATATGTTCGTTAAAGTTAAGATGACAATCTATATACACTCCCAGGTCCTTTCCAACTGTTACAGGCTTGATTTGAGTTCCCAGCATTGTCGCACTTGGTAAGGGGGTAGGTAATGTCCTCATGAGTTGTGGGACGCCCACATAAAGAAGCTTTGTTTTGTCAGGGTTAATGAGCAGCGAATTTCTACAGCACCAAATCGATATTTCTTTAAGATCTTCGTTTACTGAGAGATAACGTCGTCAAGTTCGCTGGCGGGGAACCCAAGGAAGAGCTTGGTGTCATCCACATAGCCGAGTGGCTCGCAATGTTTTGTAACTCGAAAGAGGTCGTTTACATACAATGTAAACAACACCGGGCCCATGATGGATCCCTGCGGTACCCCAACCGTAAGGGGTAAGGGATTAGATACAGTATTCTGAAATTTAACGACTTGTTGACGTTGCGATAAATAGCTTTCCAACCAGGCACACGCAGACTCAGATACGCCAGATTTGCGAAGTTTACGTAACATTAAATCGTGTCGAATGCTATCAAAAGCTTTGGACATGCTCAAAGAACATTAACATATATTTTCTTCTGATCCATGTTATTAAGCCATTCATCGGTGAAGTGAAGTAGTGCATTCATCGGTGAAGTGTAGTAGTGTAAATCAACAACGCGTCAATAATGTGTTGTGTATCAACAATGCGTTGTGTGTCAACAATGCGTTGTGTATCCTTTTCGGTGTAACCTGGATACGTGCCGACATGACTGGTTTAAACTTTATTTTTTTTCTGCAGTGTGTCCTTTTAAAATTTTATCAATATTTTATCCTTACCGCATTTATTTTATCGCATTTTAGTGTTCATGGAATTCTTATCAGTTTTAATTATTTTTAATTGTTTTGAAAAGACTTTTAGGCTATATTTGTAACTAGTCGCACTTGACAAATGACTTGGAAACGACCTCGGAGAGGTCAAATAATCGTGACTATTTAGCGTTAACTTTTATCACAAAATGTATACCAAAGAAATTTGTCATTACAGTGCGACTACTGCAACCAGGGCCTCTTAAACAAAGTTGAACTATCGGATTAAAGAAGAAAATAACAATACATGTATATTCCAAGAAAGTAGTTTGTGAGCCAATCAGCAGCTCGTAAAAAAAGCAATAAGTTAATGGAGGCACAAAATTTAAATATTGATAGCAAACGTTTTTCAAGAAAGCAAAATGTTTCACCAGACAATGGTTTCTATTCGAAAGTTTATAAACTATAGCACCTAGGAGACATACTTAGCAATTTCTTCGTTACCTGATTGCCGCGCTTTGCAAAATTATCACGACCCTTACGTTTACGTCTTTCGCCTCTGTCCTTCATTCTAACTAACCTTTCAGGAAACACAGACTTTCTTTAGTGGGTTCAAAAGGTCACATTTGTAGGCTGTAATCAGGAGCACCCAACGACGGTTTCCCCCTAAATTCATTGAAAACATTAAGGCTATCCAGAGTACTTTTAGATCTTCAGAAATACATTCTAAGCGGCGGTATAAAATCTTTATCTGTTCGGTCATTCTAGGACAACTCGAGTCTTTTCGAAATTTCAAGGGCTTCGGTATTATTTTCCCGAAAATCTTAAATGCAATTTAACGTATTACGAAAATGAGAATTTTTCTCATTCCTCTCTCCATCACATTTTTGAATCCGATAATTTTAGGTTTCCTTTTTCTTACGAAAAATAGCCTAACCTGGGGAGTGAAATCTGGTAAATTGAATTTCTGAAAATCGAAAGGAATTTATTAGATGAGCTTCGGAAATTGTACGTGAATAGAATGGTCATCAGGAATTTTTAGCCGTCCTTGAGTAGTAGAAAGTTTTAGGCAATATATGCCTCTTCGAACAGAAGAGGCATATATGCCCCTGTGTAATTGGTTGATTTCGATCCATGTTGTTTATTTCGTTTACTGGTAATCATGATCGGAAATTAACTTTCTCCCACTTCCGACGTCGATCTTCTTCCTTTCTTCGCCGTCTGGGCTTTTTCGTCTTGTTTCTCAGCATTCCTTTTTCGTCTTGTTTCTCAGCATTCTTGGTTTCACCCAAAACGCTCAACCGCTCGGTTGCGGTGCTCCTTCGCTGCTGCCTTCTCGCAGGCTTCTTGCAGGCTTCTCGCATCCGTGGCCGCTTTCTCTTTTTCTATGATTTCTTCTAACGCTTTGTCTAGCTTTGTTTCCTGACAGTCTATCCGAGAGGCAGCTTCCTCCATTCTCATTTTCGCTTTGTACTTTTGTTAAAGTAATGTCAACCTGTCTCTGACACTTCTCTTTGATACTTTAAATGTAGGATGATCAGAGGCATTTAAACTGTTTGCTATTTCGTTCCGTGAATCTCCTCTTTCCTTACTAGGGTAAGGATGTTTCCAAGATTCAACAACTAAAACTTCTTCGCAAAGATTCAAGTCATGCAGTTCTGTCCACTCCATTCTAAGGAAATTCACGTCAAAATATAAGTTAATTTTTCGGAAAATTAGACTCTAAAATGACCTCAACGGCATGAAAATTTCCTGCTTAAGTTAAAAAAAATTTCCTGCTTAAGTTAAAACAATTGTAAAAGATTGCATATAGGTAAATAAAACAAAACAAGTAATCACTTAGTTCTGGATTTCATCTCTTAACTTGAATGTTTTTCTGACAAGATGCAAATCCCACAAAGCCCGAATTTTGACTGGTTGCAAAGTTTTCATGTTTCAAAATCATAGTAAGATTCAATATTGTGCAAAGATTAGAAACTAAGGAATATCTAACTTTCATTTCAAAAGCCAAACTTAAATTGTCCTCCTAAACAAGATGAAAATACATAAATTTATACTCACGTTCTCGCGACGTTCGGCCTGGACGGCAAAGATGGCGTTTTCACGTTCTGAACTTCATGTGGACGACGAGTGAAGCATGCGCAGTAGGGCGCTAAGCGGTATTTTCCCTTCTGGTCGTCGTCCTCAGGGCTTCTCGTCGACCTTGTTTAAGGTCCCTATTACTTTTATGTGGACATTTCATACAAATTCACTCTTGCATGAGTATTTGCTTCTCATGCATGTACACAAATATAACTATATAAACACTTTCATAAATGAATTGGTGTTTTCTACTGTGATAATTCAGTGCTAATGAGGGTACCGCATATTCAGTAATCATGA